AAACGTGAAGAAGAAGAAATATCTTTAAATGAAATTGGTTATGATGATATTGGCAGTGTTAGAAAACAATTAATAGAAATTAAGAAAATGGTTAAATTAACATTAAGACATCCACAACTATGCAAAGCAATTGGTGTTAAACCACCACAATGTATTCTTTTATATGGACCACCAGGCACAGGTATGATAAAAATAAGAGACTGTCTTTTTAGAAAAAGAAAAAAAAATTATTTTAGGTAAAACTTTAATAGCACGTGCCGTGGCCAATGAAACTGGTTCATTTTTGTCTTTAATCCATGGATCGGAAATTATGTCTAAATTAGCTGGTGAATTTGAATCTAATTTACGTAAAGAATTTGAAGAAGCTAAAAAGGTAAAATTAATTTAATAGTTAAATCATTCTCCTTCTTATAATACAATTTTTATTTGAATAAAATGTTTTTTTTTAGAATTCTCGAGCTATTATTTTTATTGATGAACTTGATGTTATTGCACCAAAACATAAAATAAAATATGGTATAGTTCAACGTTCTTTTGTTTCACAATTATTAACATTAATGGCTGGTCTTAAACAATGTTCACATGTAATTGTTATGGCGGCCACAAATCGACGAGATTCAGTTGATCCAGTACTTTGTCGTTTTGGTCGTTTTGATCTCGAAGTTGATATTGGTATTCCTGATGCTGGTGGCCGTAAAGAAATTCTTCGTATACATACAAAAAATATGAATTTAGGTGACGTTAATCTTTCACAAATTGCTAATGAAACACATGGTTATGTTGGTGCGGATTTAGCATCATTATGTTCAAAAGCTGCTTTACACCAAATTCAAAATAATATGAATAATAAAGGTTTACAAAATGATACAATTGATATTGAAGCACTCAATTCATTAGCTGTTACACAAGAGGATTTTCAATTTGCACTTGATCAATCAAATCCATCAGCTTTACATGAAATAGTTGTTGAACAACCAACAATAACATGGGAAGATATTGGTGGTTTAGAAAATGTTAAACGTGAATTACAAGAACTTATTCAATATCGTTTTGGACATCCGAATAAATGTCTCAAATTTGATACGATGTCATCACGTGGTGTTCTCTTTTATGGACCATCTGGTTGTGGTAAGTTGACAAATATTTTTTCTTAATTATACAGTAACACCTCTATATGTGGGTACCTCCATAAAGTGAGCACTTTTCGCTGATTCCGATGATGACCACATTAGAGATGTTTTACTACATTTTGATATTTGATTTTAGGTAAAACATTATTGGCAAAAGCTATTGCTAATGAATTTAATGCTAATTTTATTTCGGTAAAAGGTCCTCAATTATTAACTACGTGGTTTGGTGAATCAGAATCTAATGTCCGTCATGTATTTGATAAAGCTCGTCAAGCAGCACCATGCGTGCTCTTTTTTCATGGATTAGATGTAATTGGTAAGATAAAAAATAATAGTAATAAATGAATTTATGTTTTTGTTTATAGATAAAGCTCGTGATGGTAGTGTTGGTGATGGTGCAGCTGATCGTGTTATTAATCAAATTTTAACTGAAATGGATGGTTTGGGTGAAAAAAAAAATGTTTTTATTGTTGGTGCAACTAATCGACTAGATATTATTGATTCGGCTATTCTTCGACCAGGTAAAAAAAATAAAATAAATATTAATATTGCTATATGAGAATTTATGTTTAGGTCGTCTTGATCAATTAATTCATATTCCATTACCCAATCGTACCTCACGTGTGGATATTTTAAAGGTTGCTTTAAGAAAATCAGCTGTAGCTAAAAGCGTTGATATTGATCATGTCACAGATGAACTCAAAGGTTTTAGTGGTGCCGATTTAACAAAAATTTGTCAACGAGCTTTAATATTAGCTACAAAAGATTCCATTGGAAAAAAACGACAACTTATCCATCCAACAACAATGTCTTCTGGTGAACCACAACCAATACCAGAAATTCATTCTGATCATTTTGAAGAAGCTGTGAAATTTGCTCGACGATCAAGACCTCCAGCAGCTAATCCAGTTTTTAATGATCGAACACATCTAAGAGAGGTAATTTGATATCAAGAAAGATAACAACTACTTTTTTTAATGTTTAGAGTGATCGAACGGATGGTTCATATGAAAATCCTATTGAAGAACAATAACAACAGTAAATAGAACATTTAAAATGTAAATTTTAAATTAATAAAAGAAAAAAAAAAGAAAGAAAATTTTTTTTTTTTTATTATTATTATTCCCTCTACTGAAAGGAGGGTAATGCGCTGAGCAGCTGCCATGAACAAATGTTCGTGTGTTCGTTAGTTCGCACAGAACGAAAAAAAAAATATGTGCACGACAGAACGTAACAAATATATATATATATATTTTACAGAACGGAAGAAAAAAATCGTGCATATTAAATTATTTTTATTCCAAATTATTTTATAATTTAATCTTATAATGATTTAATTTTACTTGAATAATATCAATGAAAGATAATATATAAATGAACTAGAATGATCTACGATCAATATAACATATACATTTACTTATTCTAAAAAATTCATATATCAAATAAAACAAACTAAAAAATATTCTAACCATTTATATTCATATTTTATTTTACAATATAACTTAACATTCAAATAAATTTCTTTATATTTAATGTCAGCAATTTTTTTTCTTATTTGTCATTTCAACAGAACAAACATTATATAATACATAGAATATGATGAACAATAAAAATAAATTAAAATGAATAAATATCAATGAAATATATCTAATGTATATATATATTTATTTATACTTAATATAGAATTAAAAAATAATATAATATATATATATAATTGATAAAAGATATAATTATAATTTTTTTTTCATTTCTTAAACTTTTATCTAATCCTTATCCTTATTTATTCTTCTTACTATTATTATTATTATTGTTATCATTTTCAATATAAACTAAACAAAAATATCTTATCTAATAATCAAAATACATTATAAATTATTATATTCATATGAATACATATAAATAGACATTGTGTTAAACATATGTATTCTTATGTAATATTTAATATTGTTCAATTTTTCACTTATTCATAGAAAAAAAAGGTTAAAACAATAGAATTTGTTTTGTTTTATTATTTTTCATATACAATATAATTTATTTTTAAAATTTAATTTATAAAATCTACTACAAACTATTCAATATCTTTCTATTCATAAATCGATTAATTCAATAAAACAAAAACATGTTCATAGATAAAATTTTGATTGTATATAAGAATTTCTGTATTATTATTATTATTTAAAATTAAATATTTTATAACAAAATATATGTATTACAATATAATATCTTTATAATGCTATATCATTATTATACAATATATCAACAACAAATCGATTTATGATATATATCTTATAGAATAAGCAAATAAATTGATTTNTGAATGAATGAAGTTGTGGCATATAATCAAGAATATCACGTTGAACATAAGTACCATCAAGCACTTTATTTCGACCTTTTACATGAATATATAAAGTTAATTGTTCCAGACATGACATACGACGAAGAAGTAATACGATTTTATCATATTGCTGAAATCGACATATCGATTTCAATGAGAAACATTTCAGATTAGGTAAATTATCCTAAAAAAAAAATATTGTTTTAATAATCTACAACACTAAGTCATACACATCATTCTATACATATGGTGTTTATTCTAAATACTGTCTATTAATGATCACAAACTATAAATCTATCAGTTTGATTATACGAAACACGATCTAAAACAAGTGTTGAAGTGTATCTGCTTGAACAATTACACCACCCCACAGACCAGAACCGACATTACCACGGAAATGTCATAGACCATGACAGATGCTGCAACACAAGCGCCTCCCTCTCCCCATCACATACAGTAACAGATATTATCAATTGGTATTACAAACAACTATTTCATGTTTCAGTTTTATTATGTAGAATTGCGCTAGCAGCTTTTCTCATTTTAGAACATTAAGTAATAGATGTGTTGAAAGAACAATTGATAATTTTCTGATAAAATTCTAATATCTCAATTATTGGAAAAATTGTTACAGAAAAAATTTCCTTCCATTCTATACTAATGATCCTTCATATATCATAATATTTAATTATGAAATAGAACAGTCTCCTTTTAAATGCGACACTAATCTGATAAAACATTACATAATTTTTATTTCTACCAACAAATTTCATTGATCATTTTATTAAATTCAAATTTCTAATAAGTGCAAACTTAATGTCGATAACTCTAGTTTATCCATCAACACTTATCCATCTTTCCTTCTTGTCCATTTGAAACTTAATCATTGAACTTTTTATTTCAATCTTTTGACATAAATCCAAACTGGATTGAAGTGGTTATTATCTTTATCTCATAAATACAATTATTTATGAAAAACTTACCACATTGTGAACAATTACTGAAGAATTGTCTATATCATAGATAGCAACAGACAATTTTGTCAATTGTTTAAGTCGACCATCAAGTAAATAAAGACAATCGTCAAAAGTATTCACATTGATATTCAAATAAGTAAGAATTAGAGAAAAAAAAGTGCTCGATGGCAAATCAGAGAGTGATAAACCTGGATATAATATACGAAATGGTTGAATGACAGTTAGATTTTTTAAGTTCTTGAAAAAATTCAAGATGCATGCATATACGTTTGTAGTATAATTTTTCAATAAACCTATGCTTCCGTTCTGATCATGGTTAACAAGAATAAGATTTGTAATTTGTTCGAAAATAGATTGAAGTAATGACTCATCTAAACGAGAAAATCAATCAATGAAATGAAATATAGTGTAGTCAATTCTACATAATATTTATTATTATCTATGAACTAAACAAATTCATATTAAATATTTACCTGTAAAATAATTCAAAACGATTTGTTGTTGGAAATGAAAAATTTTAGGTTTATTTAGATTTGGATAGGTAGTAGCAAGAAGAATACGTTCCATAAAAACTGGATCAATAATAAAACATTTCACATTCTGATGAATCCTTGGCAATATGTCGATGCAGAAGCGATCGATTAAACACATATCATCAATAGAGACAAACTTGACAGTGTTGGTGAAAGTATTTTCTTGTGCAAGAATGTTAAGTCGTCCATTATTAATATCCGATAAAGAATAAAGAACATCAATATTGTTCAATTTCTTCAAAATAATAAGTAATCTTTCATTAGGTAAATCCAGAAGATGAATACTTGATCGGTTCATATTTTATTATGACTGCGATGCCTTTGACTAAGAGAAAGCTATATATACCTCAGGGGTCGCAGCGACACTACTTTCCTGATTTTTTCCTGATTTTTTTAAAAGCGTCCTGATTCGTCCTGATTTTGCCCATTTTTCCTGATTTTCCTGATTTTCTTGACTTTGTGTTATATAGCGCGAACGCAACAGTAGTTCGAAAGCACAAAACAGGACTCATTGTCAAGAAAATTTCGTCTCCAATTGTAGCATAAATTATCAGTCTTTGTTTTAGTTGAACTATGAGCGAGATATCGTTTTTAGGGGTTGATTTTTATATAAAGCTTAAACTTAACGATTTTAAAGCAGTTGGTCTCTTTCGGAAGTAATAAAATTCAGCTCTACTCAATCCTCCACACATGTTAAAACTACAAGTTTTCTGATCGCTTTCAACGAATAATGTGTTGTTCGGAAATAATACAACTGTGTTTTAAACGATGTCGATATCTTTCTCTTTGAAGATGAGTAACCATCGATTCACCCCTTTCTTTGATATTGTTTATTTTAAAGTATGCAGCAAACATAGTGATCAGTCGTATAACCATCCCGTTCTGTTGCCAATAGAAATGCAGCACCAATCAGTGATAATCATAGTTTTTCTAGTACGTTATCTTGGGTAGCAATAACACACTTTGCAGCACACGATTGGTACCAGTTTCAACTACTTCAAAAATCCGATTTCAGAACTTTTGAAAATGCGCATAGTATACAGCTCAGGTCTGGATAGGATCCTTACCTTAATGTCTACTCTTATGAGTGAACTGTTTGATTTATCCTCTAGCACACTGTGGATACAGAATGCTAAGGAAAATTAAAGTGCAGCAGGGCTAGTCTTTTCTGCCCATATATCCATATACACGAGCATAGAACTAGTCCTTTCTGAAAGATGCTGCACGTGGAGTCGTGAAAGTTCAGGTTTTATAATTTGATAGGGACAGTATTCGAGGATACACACTTTGTTTCTGTTTGAAAAAATCTATCGTGCAAGTAGTAAATAATGGCAAAGTGTCACTACTGCTTAGTTCTACTGAAAGAATTTGTGAATCGTAAATTGCAAGAGCAACTGGTAATAAGAAAAGTTTTCTAAATTATGATGGCCTATTCCATGGAGTTTCTACCACAAAAAACACAAGTGTCTTCAAATTAATCGAATCATATCATATCTTGTAGAGTTCGACGAGTTGTATCTATGGTAAAAATTTCAGCTCACAAAACCGTTCCTGTAGGGAGATCTAAGGTATACAAGTTTAGCTGGAAATTAGCATAATTGATGAAAAATGAAAATTTACTAAACTTCCTGGTCTGCACTTTTTCACTATTGTATGAACCAAAATTGATTTCAATTATATATTCTTGCTCCCCATGACCCGGCGCATCCGCACCTATAACGCTTTTTCATTTTTATTAACCTAGTAAAAAATTNTATTGAGTCATCGTTAAGTTATTCTAAACTGTTCCAAAAACTTGAATTTAAAAAAAAACTCCTAAAACCGGAGAGAAATTAGGAAATCGGAAAGTGATCGGAAAAATATGCTAAAATCGGAAAAAATCCGAACGTCGGAAAGTCGTCGGAAAAAATTTCAAAAATCGGAATTTTTCCTGCCATATCGGAAGATCTGGCCACCCTGATCATAACTAGCTACTTCAACACATTTTATGGTTTGGATGATGTCTTTTAACAACTCCCAGTTTCTATTAAATAATAGGCAAAAAGTAAAATAAGAAAAAAGTCTCTAAAAATTGCCCTTTTGAAGCATATTTTTGTTAATAACGACATATTTGTTTGTGTTGCCGACAAGGAATATTCGATTTTAAATCATTCGATAGAAAAGACACTTATCGACTAGATAATACAAA